ATTACGTGATATTTACTCGCAATCTGATTTATGGATCGTCAATTTAAACAGGACAATATAGACGAATTTCACAAAAGGCACGGAGATCCAACATATCTGTGATATACTCAGAGAACACACCCGGCCTGTGCTATCCGGTCATTTTTCATTTCATGTCTCACAGAATATATAATTTGATATGGCATTGTTTCTTATTGTATACTTTTGCGTTAGTGAAACAAACTTTAAAGTTTATGTATGGCGTTTATTACAGCAAGTGCAATAATATTCCAATTATGTACTGCCACAATTATTGTACAGTAGTGATGCGCGAGCTGAACAGAAATAGGAATTACGAGTTGGTTCGTGTAGCATATTTGACTGTGCTCCAAGAGAGACAAAGTGCTATTCTTTTGGGGCAGCTAGGGACACTTGCTAGGACAAAGGGGCAACGCATCGCCCTTTGTTCACCACTGAACCTTTCAATCCCTCGAAACATGCACCTCACAAGATTTGCCAACACCACAGACAAGGTGTAACTGATACTGGTAGCAAGAGCGAGTGCAGCTTAATAAGGCGTGTTAGCTTGCGTAATACCGCTTTCTTTGTCAGGCTCTTTGGTGATAAGAATATTTAGGTCATGTGAACGTTGATTTCAAACGTACTAAAATGTGTGAAAGTGAAATTACATGAGCCAAGTAATTCACATGATGGAAACATATGATCATCTTGCTTGAATACAGGTAAGATTGATGGTGTAAGAACCGTTCATATACATGCCCCTGAAATCCGATATGATACATAAATATCTAAGGTGTGTAAACATTTGCAAATTTGAGAATTTACTTGTGTTTTCCCACCTAAGTAAATTCACATGTTTCCAACCCGAGTAAACTTAGAACGAAATCGGAAATTTCAGCACCCACTGAAATTCAAAGGAATGCATTGGAAATACTGTATGATCATGTATTTACCGGGGTATCTGTTTTGCAATTCATATTTGGAAATCCCCGACAATCCGGTCAGGGCCTACATGAACGAGGTGCTTGTGCATACGAAAATGTACGATGAGCATATGTTTCAAAGGTATAGATTCATATGAAATATATCCCCGAAGTTAGGAAATATCTGAAAACATACGTAAACCCGGTCATGGCATGTATTTCCTACTGTATTTACGTATATTTCAATGGTTTACTATCCGGTTTTTGGTGCTGTGTAGAGGGACGGAGCATTGTCACACAGTAATGGAACTTTGTTAGTTACTGGAGAGAACATTGTTACATTCTGGACAATTACATTGTTACATTCGGTAATATAGCACCGTTACATTCGGAAATATAACATTGTTACATTAATGAACATAGCATTTTTGCATGAGGGAACACATCTTGATCAGGGCTGCCTTCGGGTGTATAGTGCCGACCTACTGAGGTTGCAGACACAGATTGACACAGCAGACTAGTCCCGAGCCAGCCAGTCCTTTAACCGATTACTGGTCAAGGAAGGAAGCCACAAGTATTATCTTTAAACGTATTGAAACGACAATCCTCTTCTCTCATGGCCTCTGAACCACCGACTTGTTGCTCTCCAGACAGACGCTATCAACTATACAACCGACCTTCTCTTCTCGCAGACATTCTTTTCACCTATACACCGACCACAGGCTCTCCTGACAGACACTTTGTCAACCACAATGACCACGTGCTCTCCTGACAGACGCTCTATCAACTACACCGCCGACTTCCTGCTCTCCTGACAGATGCTATGTCAACTACATCGACCACAAGCGCTCCTGACAGACGCTCTATCAACTACACCGCCGACTTTCTGCTCTCCTGACAGATACTCTGTCAACCACACCGACCACAAGCTCTCCTGACAGACGCTCTATCAACTACACCGCCGACTTTCTGCTCTCCTGACAGATACTCTGTCAACCATACCGACCACATGCTCTCCTGACAGACTACACCGCCAAATTTCTATTCTCCTGACAGCCGCACTGTCAACTACATAGCCAACATAGCTCCTTTTAAATCTAATTCTAGAGGTGTTGCCATACGTTTTAATAATGATACTGATATCTACATAGATAGGACCTTAATAGATGAAAATGGCAATTATATTATTGCTGATATTTCACTAATTAATCTCTATGGACCTAATAATGATGAACCTCAATTTTATATTAATCTATTTTAAAATATTTTAAAATGTGAAATTGATTCATTAGCAATTGTTGGATACTGGAACCTAGTGCTTGACCCCACAATTGATCTGGAGAACTATAAGCATGTAAACAATCCAAAATCGAGAAATACTGTGGTAGAATCTTGAAAAAGAAATCAGTATGGAGGAAATTAGCAATGCAGTTTACAAGATGAAGAATAATAAAATCCCAGGGATTGATAGATTTCCTATTGATTTCTTTAAAGTTTTTTGGAAAGAATTAAAAGTATGGATTTATAGATTCGTTAAAAATGTGTATCAACTAAGAATGAAATGTCTTCAAATATGAATGGGGTGTCATCACCTGTATTCCAAAATCCAATAAAGACAGAACATTACTGAAAAACTGGAGGCCTATCACTGTACTCAATGCCATTAATAAAATTATCAGCTCCTGTATTGCACATGGATTAAAAGCTACTTTAGATAATCTTATTCATTGTAATCAAACTGGTTTTATACCAGGTAGGACTATTAGCGAAAATACTAGACTGCTATATGACATAATGTTCGAAACAAAGAAACAAAACATTCCTGGCTTGCTAATTCTGATTGATTTTGAAAAAGCTTTTGACACTGTTTCTAAAGATTTTATCAACCTAGTTTTACATAAATTTGAATTTGGCCCTGAAATAATAAGATAAATAAATATGTTGACTTTTGAAACAACATCTTGTGTCATCCAACATGGTAATCTCTCTGAATTTTTGGCTAATGAACGAGGATGTAGACAGGGAGACCCACTTTCCCCTTACATTTTTCTTTTTGCAGCTGAGATTCTTGGTTGTATGATAAGAAACAATGGAAACATTAAAGGAATTGTCATCAATGATAAGGACTATAAGCTGGATCAATACGCTGATGATACTGAACTTTTTCTTGATGGAACCGAGGAGATTTTATATCTCGCTATCGACACAATTAATGCATTTGATAAAATCTGGATTTGATCAAAAGCTTAATCTACTGATAAAATATGTAATGACCTGAAAATTGAATGGGTAACTGGTGAATTTGATGTACTTGGTATTAAATTTACACCAGATCTTGAAAACCTATGGGTAATCAAAACCAGAAAGGGACTGGAAGAAATTAATAGCATCTTGGAGAAAAAGAAATTTAACATTTATTGGTAAAATAACAGTAATAAAACCCCTAACAATCTCCAAACTAGTTCATATTTTCAATTCCTTGCCCAACCCTCCAGCAGAATTTATGACTTCGCTTGAAAAACTATTTTTTAAATTCATTTGGAATGATAAAAATGATAAATTATAGAGGAGTGTAATAAAAAGTAGATATGAAGATGGAGGATTGAGAATGATTGATACAAGTAGATTTATTGATGCTTTGAAATTATCAACCTTAAGATTATATTTTAAATAAAGTGAAAATAAAAATCCATGCAATATACCTTTTAAAGACATATTTAACTTTGGAGCTTATTCTGAAAGTTTTCTTGAGATTGAAAATCCTTTTTGGCATGATGTGCTAAAAGCATGGAAACTATTTCACAAACTACATTATGTTGATCCAAATAACATTAATCAAATTTTATCCCAATCACAATTTCAAAAACTCTACATATTTTATAAAGAATTGGGCAGAGATAGGGATTATGAATATTAGGGATATATGTGATGAGAATGGTTTACTATCAAAAGAATCTTTATAAGAAAATTATCATATCGAAGGCACCGTTTTAGATTTCAGATATTTACTGAACATATTACCTGAATCTTTGAAATATACTTTAAAGCACTGTCTCTCTATTCCTGTCAGTAATTTGAATGTTAACCAATGCCAGATACATTTAGTAAAAGCATCCAAAGGCTGCAGAACGTTTTAAGATAAACTTATTTGTAATGATAAATATCCAAACATTTGTAATAAATGGCAGCGTTTATTTTCTGAAACTGACTTTGATTTGAAAACTATATTTATAGTATATAGAAAGGGATTGCAAGATACAAAGCTTATAGACTTTCAATATAGATGTCTACAAGGTATTTTTTACACAAAAAGGGAATTGGTCAACATGACAAAAATTGACAACAGTTTGTGTTGTTTTTGCAAAGATGTTTAAATGAGAGTGTGTGGCATGTGTAGTGTTGTTTTTACAAAGATGTAAATGAGAGTGTGTGTCATGTGTAGTGTTGTTTTTACAAAGATGCTTAAATGAGAGTGTGTGTCATGTGTAGTGTTGTTTTTGCAAAGATGTAAATGAGAGTGTGTGTCATGTGTACTGGGAATGTCAGGAGACTCAAACCTTTTGGATAAACCTACAAATTTGGCTTAACAATTATTATCCACATCCATTGAAATTATCAAAAAACATGATTTGGTTTGGTACTCAACATGAAAATAGATTACTAACATCACATCATCATTGCTGCAAAGAGACATATTCACTAATGCTGTATTAAAAATATGCTTCCAAATCTAACTTTCTATATAAAAACTCTAAAAGAAATATTCTTTGTGGAAAAACATACATCAGCCAAAAATGATAAAATACATAATTTCCATCATAAATGGAGGCTTCTCCCCCCAGTACTTAGATGACTTGAACTGTATTGACTTGTACCTGACATTATCTGTACATTATCTATTTAATGAATTATGCATGTTTATACATATATTAATACAAAAATGTCTCACCTGCACATCTGTACATTATCAATTTAATGAATTATGCATGTAATAAATATATCAATACAAAAATATCTCACCTGTACATCATGTAGCCATATTACTTTTAAGCCGTACGTATCACGGTATATCTGCAATATTGTAATCTTGGGAACCAATAAAAAAAAAAAAGAAAAAAAAAAGAAAAGTATACCTGTATGGGATAGTGACCAGATATACTGTAAAGCTGACGGTTATCTAAGGCGTAACCAATGACATTACATCTATGCTCTGTGTTGACAAAAAACATAATCGATCATAGTTTGGATATCCCTACATTTGCTTGTATAAGTATATAATGTAGGAAATTCCGTTCATGCAAGGCTCGAAAGAGCATTCTCGATTTAGACACACACAACTGTAACTCTCTAACTTATGACTACTTAGAGAATAGTTGTATTTCATGTAATCTGTATATATTTATATATTTTACATATATTATATTTATGCAATGGTCAGTATCGATGACGTCAAATCCTCCATTTTCATGTTGTATTATATGTTGCATGGGAGCGGTGTTAATATAAGCAGTAATGCTTGTTCACCAATCTCAATTCATCTTCATGAATAGAAATATGTTTAAATCATTCTCGATCTAGATTTCATGTATTTACAGTCACGTAGATCTGTGTTAAAGTCACCGACCAGGACAGTCTCACCGTTATATGAAAGTCTGTCATAAGCCTCAAAGAGGGTATTCATTTCTTCACTGTATACACTGTCCAAGACATTGGTAGATGGAAGACGTGCACCAATGATGTGGATCGGAGTCTTATCCGTAGTTAGCTGCACACCAATCACATGATCACTCCCCGGGATGTGCAGACTAGAGGTGGAGTAACTATCGTTTTCCGTACAAACATAGCGAGTCCACCTGCTCCCCTGAGTGAGGAGTGATCAGTCTGACACTTAACATACACATCGAAGTCTGTGTAGATCTGTAAGGAGGGATAGCTGATCCGTGTGTAGCTGATAAACATCACATCGGTGCAGTCTAGTTTGGTGTTGATTTCATCTAGACACGTAGCGGCACCCCTAACGTTCCAAGTGATAATACGGGAGAGCGTCATTGCCATAAGTAAAATGTTCATGACGTTCATCATGGTCATTATTGTCTGTTATCACCGTACCATTGTTGCTTTGGCACCCACTCACGACAGTTGACGTTTTCGGGCCAGAAACAGTCATCATCTGCTATGACGTCAGCACACTTACTGGAGACAGCTATCCTGATGGTGTAGGTCGGGTTGTATCTGCTGTCCCAATATTTTAGCAGCACAGTGTTCGTGACAGTAGCACCACGATCTGATGCATACTTACAAATAGCATCCTTCACAGCGTCAAAAGGTTCGTCCGCACGAACGTAACTGAGCACAAAACGCCTGTTGTTACTTCTGTGCACTCCAGTGAATGCACGTTTCCAGTGGTTGTTGAAAGTAACTGTACCATCTCTTTTGTCTTGTTTGTTGTCATTACTCTGTCCAGCACGGTGTTTTGATTGCTGACCACATTGCTTGTCATCATTGCTTGAGTATGTGTCTGTGATTATGCAATCGCTTGTGTTGGGAGTTGCGTGCTGCTGGGTGTATCTGGATGGCTTGGTGTGGTGTTGTTATATAACGCTGGCTTTACGGATTGGCTTGGGAGATGATAGCCAGTTTTAACACATTCTGGATACATGAGCTTACTTCGTGTACTCATGCAATCAATTTTTCCATCAACTTCACGTACATTTTTGTCGATACGAGTTATGGTCGAATCCAATGTATCTTTTATGACTTGGAAATCAATGTCTTTTTGTTCAAGCTGTGTCTGTAACTGAACAATTTCTGCCTTGAGTGCTTTCACATGGGCACGATGGCGTTCATTTTCAATCTCGAGACGTCTAGCGTCATCTCTCTTGCACTCATATGGGCCAATAAGTTGTACCATGTCAGAGTTGTATTTATCTCGAAAGTCCTGTAGCTCTTGGGTTACATACTGAAAATTCTTCGTCATGTCTTCATGCATATGCATCATTTTAGACAGAACACTACATATTATATCTTTATCTCTGTTGTTTAAAGTCTCGTTGTCTGCAGGCACACAGCCTCTGACAAACATATACAGCAGATATATATCAGATGCATATTTTGTCGAGACATTCTTAGTTTGTCGTTTTATTCTCTTGATCAAGACGCCGCCAGGAAAATCATCACATTGTGTCTTTGCCACGTCATATACAGACTGTCTTTTGAAGTTTAGACCAGATTCATCATTATCAAATTTGTCTATAAGCTTTCTTTCACAAGTTTTTCTGTCACATTATCCTAATAGTTCATCAAGTTCTTTGATGATATCGTAGTAATGGCCATTATGATCTTGTGTGTCTTATACTTGTGAAGAGTTCTTGTAAATGCAAGGTTTCTTTACATGCATTTCAATGTACAAATTCTTTCAAATGAAATTGTTTACTAAGTTGTGACAATTGGTTTTTAGTATTTTATCCATGTTGGTCCAATAATTAAAACACTTAATTAATATTTAAAGTTCATTTCCATTTAAATCCTTATCAGTCAAAATTGTAAACAATGTGGCCCAGTAAATTTCCATTACCCTGTGGCCTTCACCTTCATGTGTGATGTCAAAGCTCACAGGTCACATCATGACCTCTCCAAAGCTCATGCATTTTGGAGCACATGCTTACCGGTGTGTATTGGACCTCCATGCTGCCTGGTTGTCACCCAGCTGACTGTAAGCTGAACTATGTAAAGACACATATGTGAGTACTTTACCATTTCATTGCTAGGTTGTACTATCTCTAAATTACAATGAAATTGTATATATGCCAAAATTGTTAATATATTTCACACAATTATTTGTAAATTTGTAGCTGTTACTTTTGCATTTTCAATGTATTCACATATCATTCGAATGAAACATTGAATGTTATGTGCTATGAAATTTGTACATTTTCTGAATTTCATCGAAAGCCATTGTTTGTTGTAGTTTTCTGAACCTCATCAGCTCATCAGCAACTTTACTCTTCAAGTGAACGCAATAATATTCATCAAGTCCTCAGCAGCAGCCATTTATTATGAACTGTAATTTCTTAAATATCAATACATTAAACCCTGTTGCTGCGAGTATCAGTTTTTGTGTTCTGCATTAACAGTTCTGATCACTCATGCTTGAAGTGTGTAAATAGTATATTTACCAGACTGGTTTCCTTAAAATCCAGGAATAGTCCATAAAATTCACACTGCACAAGAGAATGTATCCATTTCTTGAAGTAAGCAAGCGTAACTTCGAATGTTCTCAGTCACTTCAAGATCAGTCAACCGTGAGATAAGCCCGAGAGCTCCCACAGAGCACATCTGCTCACCTCAGCGTACCAAGCCAAACACAACAGTTACAAAGTTTAATTGCACAGTCGTGAGTGTTTGTGGATGTACATAGTTTGATATACAAAAATTTAACAGAAATGAGAGATGGTAACCCAAGAGTAAATAATTATAACATGTCCATTGTACTTTCCATTTTAAAGATACGATAAACTCTTTTAGCAATACCAATCAATAGTTGTACATTATTAGTTTGTAGCATGTTCACAAACTTTATCATACTTGGTCCGGCAATGACATTCTTTGGTAGATTCCTTATACTTAAATATTTTGGACAAATGAGCAAGATATGGTATTCATCTTCAACATCGTTCACACAAAAAGGACACAGGCGATCGTGTAATGGTGTTTTAGGTGTAGTCCATCTACCCTTTTCAATCATCAGTGTATGTAAACTCAGTCTGAACCGTGTAAGAGCAATAATTATATCAATATGTACTAGATACTTTTCAAAATCTAAACAATCTTTAATTTGCAAATATAATCTAGTTTCACTCAACGAATTTAAATCATTTCAACATTCATCACACACATGACACGTGTTAGTAGTCATATGACACAGGTCGGCAGTCATCAGACACATGACACAGGTCGACAGTCATGCGCAACAGCCCTATAGAGACCTATACTATATTGAATACACAGTAAACACGCATACAGACCTATTGACCTATTATTTCGGATCACGTATGCGTTGACAAGATGTCAAACTAATGACTACCACAACTCATGTTTGTATGTGAAGAGGAGTGAATATCTTGCTCTTGTAGATGTTATACAGTTAAAAATGGGTACGGGTGTTCGTCCACAACCAAACCAAACCGGTTTCCACTGGTGCTGCAGGTACATTCGGGTGAGGACTGAATGATTCAGCACTCCTTTACAAGTTGATTTCAATAGTTTCAAGTCACACCCTCAATTAACATTTTGAATATAAAGTTCTCTTTATTGAACAAAGTAGGTCGCACGCTCTGGCGAGCACGAGTTTTTAAAATCCAGGTACATTCATTCAGGGTGACATAACTACCTCGTCATTGCGCGCATCATTTGAACTATGCTTTATTTTCGCTTCATGAAAGGTTTCATGCAAAATAACACGACCGCATTAAATGAAACAAGGGCTCATTCACCGTTCTGACCTGTGACATCATGCATTCATTATCATATGAATGAGTTCTCGTGCATATTAATCACGGATCCGGCAGAGCAGCTTGTACTTCCACCAACAATACTACTGACGATAAATATGCATTGTGTACATATCTATCCACATTTATTATTATCCAAGCATATTACATTCATTTTCACTTACATGACGTAATGCTCTCTCTCTAGACATGATAGTTCTGGACCAAGTCCAACAAAAGCCTCTGCCAAATTTCAGGCCCTTGATCCCGCCACCATTACCCCTACTGCTTTTGAGACCCCCGGCACTCAAAAGCCTTATAAAAAGTTGAAACGCCAGCAGGATACGAACGCCCAATGTTATACCTCACAGCCGCACCACTCAACCGACTGAGCTACCGGGGACATGGCTGAAGTATCTCGGTTTAACGGGTCTATCCTAGGATCTCCACGTGCCTCTATGCCGTGTTGGCAGGAGGTAACATTGTGCTGTACGGTACGATCAATAATTCCGCTCTAACAAACCCTCTACCTGGCCCATCCCTCTAGTAGTACAAGTTAGGCTCGTCCTCTTTGATGTCCACTTTATCTATGTTGTAAGTTTTGACTGACCATATAGGATCGGTGGCTCGCTTATGGCTATCACCCTCGTGTTCCCCCGGCTGGTATAGATACCTCACTAGGGCCCTATCTGGTATCTGTTTCTCTTCCCCACGCAATGGAGCAGCCGACTCCACCACTATTGATTTTAGTTTGATAGCGTCTGCCGGCTTCTTACCAGTGAGCCGGGTGGCTTCATGGTTGATTGCCGACACCACCTTGGGTAACCTCGCGACCCATTCAGTCAAACGCTTCCCCAGGTTGGCCATCTCCCTCGCATACTGATGACTGAATAAGCGTTCAGCCAAAGTCCTATTGAATCTCTCAACTATGGCTTGGCTGCGATGGGCTCCAGCCGTGCCACGCCTGACCTTTGTATCGTGTTTGTCTAACAGGTGTGACACGACACCCATGAACTCCCGCCCGGGGTCAACTTGCAGCTCTGTTGGCCACGTCAACGGACTGCGTTTGTATATGCATTCGAATCCTCTGGCTACCTTGGCTGAGTCTTTCGCGGTCAAGGGTTCGGCTTCCTTGTAGCGACTGGCCACGTCCACGACGGTTAAGGCATACTTGTACCTCTTGTCGTGGGGTAGGAATAAGAGGTCGGCCTGGTGAACGCTATTAGGTATGTTAATACCAAACTTCCTTCTAGGCACGTAGCGTGGTGGTGGCAAATAGATCTGCCACAGGGCTTGTTTTTCAAGCCACGCTTTGGCCTCCTCCGGTGGTACTCACGCCATTTTAGCCAGCTTATCTACAGCGCTAGCTCCTTTCCAGTACCCACGCGGGCTATAGTAAATAGCCTCAAACTTTCTCTGGTTCCGTGACATATATACATCTATGTCCTTGGTTCAATTTTCTCATGCCCGTACGCGTACGTGTTTATCCCATCAATAGCTATCGAACGTTTAGTATCCATAGGCGACAGGGACGTCTTGTTTATAGTCAGTCTGTATATCCTATGCCCATCACTTCTAAGTGTGTTCATTTTATGTCTAAAGGTACGGGTCTTGAACAGGGCTTCCTTGAATCTGGCGTGTTTGATGTGTTGTTTCACCACATACTTCTTAACACCCTTCGCCTTACGGATCTCACCATTGTCGGCCTTCAGTATGGAGTACATCTTAGGCCTCAAACCTATGTACTCGGCTATGGGCGTGCCAGCACACTCGTCATTCATCTTACCTAGGACCTTTTTATTTACCCAGCTGTGTATGGTATGGTCCTTGGGGTAGTCGCTGGTGTCATACAAATCGAGGCGTTTCTTCATGTCCTCGTACATGTCCTCGGTTCGAATCTCCATCAGCAGGGAATCCGTGTCAGTGTACAGCACTTCACACCTGTCGTCGTACTGTTTCTTCAGCTCATTGTAGTAAAAGTCGTACATCAGGTGTTTGGATAAATCGAGGATGCTCATCCCCACGTAAACAGGCCGGTTGAATTGATGTGGCTTTTCTTCATGTGTAGGGCAACTAGGTCATCGGTGAATATTTTGCTACGGTTGAATGCCAGACTGGCTATCAGCCTCCTGAGCTTGTCTTCCTCATTCGACCGAACCAGCTTCACGGTCACGCATTTCCTCAGGTTCTCCATAGTCTTACCAAACAGTGAGTTGTTCATGAACTTGTAGAGGTTTTTCTCAAAGTCACTGGTGGCAAGCTTTCGGAGGTCTGTGTTCATTCTGATGTAAGGCTCCATCCATGGGCTCTGGTTGAACAAGAGCACCCTGTGTATTTTGGTCAGCCTCATACCCAACAACAGGTACAGCTGTAGGTTGCGATAGTGAACGATGTACTTGGTCTTATTCATTAAGTTGGGCACGAGTTTTTCAACGTCTTCCACCCGCCCACCTAATAAGTTATGTTGGTACTCAGACATCCAGTCTGGGTTAACCCTCATACGTTCGGGGGCCAGGGGGTAGCTGTTGTGTGATGTGTGTAATGCCTTGGGGTATTCCAAGTCAACCTCGAGGATATAACCTTTGTTCGAATCTGGTGAGATGCTCATAACATCGACCTTATGGGACTCCCATTGGAATCCCCCTGTGGGTAGATACTGGCTCATAGCCCAGCCGTACAGGTTGTTGGTGTCGAGGTAGAGAATATGATTGGTTGGTTTGCTCGGGTCGTAGCCCTTCACGTATTGATTATTTGCTTTCGCATATCGTTTGGTTGCCATGGAGATCCTACATCGCAAGCCTTTCTCAATAAATAGGTGCATGTCATAATCTGTAAGCAATTACAACTTAACTCCGGTCTTTTTAAGCAAGGCATCCCACGACAGACCTGGGCTGGTGTAATACCATGCGGGGTCGAGTTTATACTGCTTGAAACATGTCCGCCTAAACGTCTCAAACACGTCGGCTAACAGCAGTACATCTGTCCTCAAGTACAGGTCGTGATAGTCACCCAGATGTTTACAGCCTAGTTTATTCCATACATTAATAGCGTGTAAGTAATCGTCCTGGGATATTGCCGAGTCTGTAAGATTGCTGTAAAATTCTCTGATGGGGGCTAGTCTGGTTTCGGCGAACTTGGCCGAGCCATCCATGTACTCATAGGGGTACACGCCCTTCCTCATCAGCAGGGGTCTAGTCTCGGCGTCGGTGTATCGATCGGTGATAGGGAAGGTATCGTTGGCCTTGACCAGACTGTTGAGTGACGACAGGAGGAACTGAACCGAGTCGATGAACCTCAGGCCGTTTAAGCTGAAGGAGATGTATCTCTCCATGTTGTTGGGGATGCACGTCAGGTTGCCATCGATTTTAGCGATGGCCTGCATGATTAAGTGAGAGTCGTACCCTCTCAAGTTGTGAAAGACCACGGGGATGTTTATTGTCTTAAGGGTGATTCTAAGCTTGAGGTTACACGCGCTGTGAGCGGCGCCTCTGTACTTACCGGTCACGTGGCAGTGATCTCTCACCGAATCGCCGTTCAGTGGTGAGTCACACACGTGACAATTAGTGCTACAGGCGTGAGCTAGCCGGTCGGCTTTGGTCATACGCATGGGAGCGACTGCATACAGTGCATTCCTAATAATTTTTTCTTCCTCCTGCAAACACTTAAGAAACTTTTCAGCCGCGTCGGGGCCCCTATACACTACAGGAGCTTTCGTTTTCCCATCACAACGGACGACTACGTATCCAAACCCACAGGCTTCATGCTCCTGTGTTTTGTGTGTGATGCTCTCACCTGTGGGTAGAGCATTGGGGATACCCCCGGCAGCCTCAACAGGTTTGACCAAGGCTTCAAAGTCAGCGTAATGATATAAGGCACAGACATTTGGTTCTTGTGGTTGTCAAATTTTAGGATATTATCACCTTCCTTAGGCATGTCGACTCGTATGGCCATCTGCCCCACACC